CATTTCTTGTTTTCAGATTTTGTTCCTTACTGAGCTGGGAAATCTGAAAACAGCAGTTGACGTGGCTTCTCTTTTCCAAGGCCAAAGGGAAGTCATATTTTCACTGGCAAATGCATTTCCAAGGAGGGCCACAGGAAGTCCAAGTGTTTAAAGGCCTGTAAACGCCTGCTGGTGATTAATAATTCAGCGCTGTGGACGATTCCGGAGAAAGGCCACTCTCAATTAACCTTCAGAATCAGCCCATCTGAGGAAGTGCCATCGCTCCTCATCTAGGAACAGAGGCCATGCCGGGGACACGGGAGTCAGCGTCCTCGCACTTGTGTACATCCCCCTTGCACAGCCTCTTCCTGGGGTGCAGAGGGTCCAGCACCATCTCTTTTCTCTGGTTTTATTAGGTGGCTTTAGTGTTAATATCCTCTAAGGCCTTCTTTTGAGGAGCTGGGAGGGAGTATCTCTCCTTGTCAGAAGCTCTTTTCTTGTCCCCCACTCCACCACGCTGGCCTCAAATGTGTTCTATCCTGTGGACACCTGCTCAGTGTCGCAGGATGGAGCTCAGAACCTTAGTTCACCCCTGGCCCTCGGGAGTGTTGTGTTCCCCTGCCCCGTTCTCCCTCCTTCCTACCCCTGCCTGGCAGCCTTTTCCCTCCAAGGCAACAGCATCCTGCCTTTTCCTTCTTGGGACTTACCTTCTCCCCTCCTTGTCCACATAGTAGCTGATAGGAGCCAGTCTCTTCTCTTCCCCTACATCACCAGTTTGCCTCTGTTCTGGGGCTTTGCACATGGTTTAGGAAGGGGCCGTGACCTAATCAGAATCAGCCCTGGAGTTTTTGTGGGATCTACAGGGCACACTCCCTTTTTTGTGGGAGTTGTGGAGCCGAAGGAGCCAAGTGTGTGGTGGTTGGGAGCATCTGCGGAGGGCTGTGTGTGAGATGAAGCCAGCGAGGCTGCAGAGCAGAGCAGGAGGCCTGCTGGTGAGGCTCCCCCTGGTCCTGCTGCGCTGGCAGCCAGCTCTCCCTGCATGATTCAGGAAATTACCTTTTTTCCCTTAAGTTAGTATGAGTTTATTTCTGCCACTTGTACTAAGGGCCTTAATTAGGGCAGGAGATGAAAGAGGGGGCAGGCTCTGAGAGACTTTTATTCCCATTTTACTCAACCTGAAGGTGAGGGACACTGAGGTGATGAGTTGCCTGAGGCCACTCAGCTAGAAGTGGCTGATCGGGTTTGACATCAGCTGTTCTAGCTTCCAGTCTCTTGAAGAGCAGAGTTGACCCTCAGACAGAGCAGGTCAGGGACTGAGGCAAGACTTGTCTTTTCTGAATTGCCACCTGTGGCCATGCAGCTGTCCTAAGGGTTGTTGGTCACTCAAGGTTGGGGTCTTATCAACCCGGGCCATTGTGGTAAATGACAGTTAATTTACTACCGAGCTTCCGGTACCCACACTGACCCTGCTCCAGCTTCTCAGTTGCTCAGAGCAGAACCCAGCTATTGTTAGGTGAGCAATGTGCTCAGCCCCCAGGGATTGAATCTGAATGGTCGGAGCCCTTCACGGCTCTCTCATTCCCCTTTTCTAGATTCTGACTTGACCAGCCTTCTTTGCCCCTAAGGGTGGCCTTATGACAGTGTTTTAGCCAATGAGACACACAAGGATACCATCCAGGTGGCTGTTGGAAAAGACTTTTTTAATGTATCAAGATGTTAAATTGATACACTAAGAAGTTATCTATCAAATTCCAAAGGGTTTTGATAGACTCTGATGCAGATTTTTATAGGTAGCTGAGAACCAGTTGGACAACTGGCCCATAGTGAGAAAGAAATGGCTGAAGGAGTGGAGGAGAGACAGGACTTGTGATGTTCCATTGGTGAGGGTTGGGGCTGTGACGGGGGACCCCCACCAAGGGAGACAGGTGGGGTAGCTACACCCTCCCCTCAAGCCCAGAGGGTGTTTGCTTCATCAGGACCATTCTGAGAGCTTGCTTTGTGTTCCCTGGAGTTTGAGAAGAAATGGACTGGTTGTTGATGCCCATAGATAGTTGTGGCTTCTGGTTCGAGATGGTGGAGAGAGTGAGAGGCTGGAGCTCACTGCTGTGGTGTTGAAAGTAGCTGCACTTCCTCTAATGATGGGTTGAAGGCTTGCGGACCTCGGGACTAGCTGTGCCACTTGTGGTGGGAGCGTGGGCCTGGGTGTGATGGGGTATTGCCACTGGCCCTCTCCTGGGGTTTGTCAGACGTGCCTATTTCCATGAGCAGGCGTGGGCCATGTGAATGAGAGAGCTGGTGGAGCCGGTGTGTGATCATCTCGGACCCTGAACCAAAGGCCTGCCAGAGCTGCTGAGACTGCAGTGGAGGGAGGAGGAGGTGAACTTTCTAGGGGCTGATGAGAAAGTAAGTGGCTTCTGATTTATTTGCTGGGATCTGGAGCTGGGAATGGGGAAGTCAGACTGGGAAAGGGAAGGTCTTTAAGACACTTTTCAAAGTACCCACAAGAGCGCTAAACCTCCTCCAGATCCAGAGAGCATAAGACATCTATGAGCCCATCAGGAAAGAATTTCCATACTGCCTTCCCTTCCCTCTCCCTGTGCTGTGACCTCAGAAGTCCGCAGTAGGCAAGGGGAGAGAAGAGAAGATGCTGACGGCCTCACTCTCGGCGAGCAGGGGCTGCCTCGGGCTAGCCCGAGCCACGGGGCCAGGGAGGCTGCAGTAACCAAGTTTCAGATTCGATTATCACCTGGCTGGGCTTTCCGATGATATAATCAGCACTGCTGAGTATGTGTTTATGTGTGCGTGGGCGTGCACGCGTAGTTGGACATGGTAGAAAAAAGAATTTATATAAAAAGGTATTGAGCCTTGACCAAAAGCCATCCTTTTAAAATAATCTCACCAAATATTTTACTTACATTATTTTATCTATTCATTCTCCACAACCACTCTGTTTAGTTGGTATTTTTTATCAGTTAGAAATTCTTTTGACTACAACTACAGAAAACCTGACTAAATGTGACTTAAACCATAAGGAGATATATTACCATATTCCATTTACTCTAAGATGCCATTGATTGTAAAATACACCACTATTGCACCACCTTCTTTGCATAAGAAAACAATACTGTGAAACTACGGTGCAATTTTTTTACTATCAAACCTGTTGTGACATGTGCCTTGATTTCAGAAGTGTTAAATGTGAAAAAAATGTGGGTCTTAGAATTGGCAAAATATGATATTACTTAGCAAGAAATTAGTAGTTAGAGAGCCTCTAACTTTGGTTTGGCAGCTCAGGATGATCATCCAAGGCCCAGGCTTCTTGTGTCTTTCTGCTCTTCCATCTCAGCACGTGTCACCCTAAGGCTGCAAGATAGCTACTGTAGCACCAAGCTTATTGTCCTCTAATGCCAAGTTCAAAGGCAGAAGAAGAAGGGAACATGGACAGTATAAGTGCTTCTTTCCTCACTTAATTCTCTCCTTTTATCTGAAAACCCCAGCACATTAACCCTGATGCCTTATTGGCCAGCCATGCGGGTTGGTTTTTAGAGACCAAGAGAGTATCTGACCTTCTCAGTCTTACAGCGGAAGGCAGGCAAGGGAAAGAGACATTGAAATGGCTATCTATGCCACAGAATTTCTATTCCCATTTTACAGATGAGGAAAATAAGGCACGAAGAGCCTTAGTTATCCACCCAAGGACACATCGCTAGAAACTGGCCAACCCTGGCTTCTAAGCCGGTGCTGAGTAATTCATAAGCCCAAGTTCTTTCCATTGCACCACGAATCATCTGTATGTTAAAGTCAAACATTGAGAAGCTTCAAACACAGAGAAGGTAAATGAGTTAGGACTGTGTCTGAAGGTAAATACCAGACA